GCATGGAAATGATCAGTTCCTAGTCAAATGGAAAGGATATCCAATGAGCGAAAACAGCTGGGAACCACTAGAAGGACTAGAGCAGGCTATGAATATGGTGAACAAATTGTGGAAAGACAACATACTAAATGAATTCCTCCCTCCAACGATTGATTACATCACAAAGTGCTGGACACTAATGATGCCTGAGATGGAGCGATGGCAGATGGAACTCGAAGTAAGAGATGGGTTTTGGGCACCATACTTTGAGTCAGAATTTGAAAGCAGTGATGAGGAAAATCAAGCTATGGAGCAGGCCCTCGACAAGTTTATCAGATCACCATCCACCATCCGAATACCTTAACAATGTTAAACTATGTGGAACTCAAGGTGAGGCTGCGACAACAGATTGTTGGAATGTTGTTGAACCGCGATGTTATCCAACTTGAAGACTACTTTGAAATCCTCTAGATAGATTACTGTCCTGATTGCGACAACGCTTGGGTTGATGTACAGCATGAATCTGGTATTCGTGACTACTGTGATTTACATTTCTTTGAGTCTAAATGTTTTCTTAGGATTTCTTCTTGTCCCTGGTATGACGCTTATAATGAAGAACTGAAGGCGGAAATTGAAGCCTTTGATTTCTCAAACTCCACTTTTGACGATTATTAGGTTTTGTTTGTTTAAACAGTTGTTTTGTTTTAGGGAATGTAACCGGTACGGGTACACGGTTATTGGTTTTGTTTTATGTTTTGTTTTAAGTATCGCTTTGATACTTAAGTAGTTTTACCAAAAGCATATCGATTAATATCTTTGATTAGTTTCGTTCATGCTAGACATAAACAGATTTGTGTATTTAAAGACCGCCAGTTTCTACGATAGAAAAGGCAGACTTTGACAGAAAGTATTTCAATATACATGGTTGAATGGTTACTTCTTTGTTCCTCAGTACACCTCTGAAGCCTCCTTTAGTTCTCAGCTCTCGCCTCCTCTCTAGATCAGCAGGCCACCAGCCTGCTATCGTATCCACTACCGATAAAGTGATTAGCACCTTGTAAACACGTTACAATGGCAGTAAGAGGGTCATGATCAACAAGCCATAAAACATGTAGCGCAACTATTCGACTTGGTTCTGCCATCCTACCTCCCAAGAAGATGCTAGTTAAAAATCTAGCCAAATACGATGCCCTGATAGGAATGCCATTCCTGAACGGCCACAAAGCTATAATCAGATGTGGGAACTCAACCATCAATTTCCCAGATCAGAAGGTTAGAGTTTCTTGCAAGCCAACAAGCGGAGATTACCAAGCCACTGTCTGTGAAGCAACTGCGCAACGCCTATTGGATGAGTACTCTGATATTTTCCCTGATCAGATTCCCGAAGAACTACTGCCTATGAGGGAAGTAATCCACCACATCTGCCTTCAAGACCCCTCTAATCTTAAGCACCAACCTACCTACTCTATTCCTGATGTATACAAAAACCCACTATGTGACTGGATCAACCAACAACAAAGAAGAAAAGTCATCTGCCGAGCAGAAGCCCCAGATGTCGCTACTATGTTTGTTCAACTCAAAGCAGATGGCAAAAGAATCCGCCCCTTGGTTGACCTCAAATTACAGAATAAAAATACACTTATGGACAGCTCCGCTATCCCAAACCAAACCCAAATCCTGAATGTCGTCAGACAGGCTTGATTGCGAGGCAAGATTGACCTAAGCGATGCATATTTCCAAACAAGATTAGATCCGGAATCTGAACGCTACAACAGTTTCAAAACACACTTCGGAAGTTTCATTAGCCGAGTTATTTTGCAAGGTGATATGAATGCACCCGCCACCTTTATGTGAATTATGGAAAACCTCCTAAGTGAATACCTCCACCATTTTATCGGTGTTTACATTGATGATATTCTCATCTTCTCGAACTCCAAAACAGAACATGCCTACTATGTAGGTTTGGTTTGTACCAAAATAAGGGAAGCTAGGTTCTACGCTAGCAAAAACAAATCAATCCTTTTTGCCAATAAGCTCGATATCCTTAGACATGTGATAGATGATGAAGGAATACACGTAACCCCTGGAAAGATATCCTGTTTAACAGAATAGACAATATCCCGAAATCAAAAGAAACACCTGCGATTCTTAGGACTAGTCAACTATATCTCCCAGTTCCTACCACACCACACCACTGTGACAGCACCACTCACAGACCTTACCGGCAATGCAGAATTTGTCCGGACCCACACTCATGACCAAGCCCTTACCGACATCAAGGAATTGATTAAAAACGCCAATATTATATGACCTATCAACTATAGTAAACCAGACCTAATATGGCTAATTACTGATGCATCGGACATTCGAGTTGGAGCATAGGTTGGACCAGGAGCCTCTCATGAAATGGCAAGACCAGCGGCATTACACAGCAGGAAGTTCACTAATTCACAAATAAACTATGGAATGATGGACAAGGAAGCCCTTGCTGTGATTGATTCTCTTGCCGCTCTCAACCACATTCTGATGGGCAATACCTTCACCATTATTACTGACCACCAACCTCTCACTAATCTTAAGACAGAAAAGGTACGTGGAAGGAGAAGAACAAGATGGATTGGCGAGATCGGCAAATACGATGCAAAAATCATCTATACCACTGGAAGAACAAAGTATTTAGCTGATGCTCTCTCCCGCCTATATGAGAATCAAGAACTCACAGACACTCCTCTTGTTCATGACCACACAAGACAAAGCAAAGACAGCCCTGACAACACCTCCTCTGAACAAGAACCATCGATGGCTACCGCCAGCTCTGCCACTTCCTCCAATCCTTTCTCTTATACTATATTTTCAGAGCTGCCAGAACAGAACGAGTAAAGGACATTGATAACAAGTAGAAAGATGATTACACCCTCCGCAGCACCCCTCCTCACAAGCTTGAACAAAGCAGACTCTACTGGTCCTACTGTTACCTCGATACCTGCCCCTTTCACCAGACTGAAATTAAATTCCGGAACAGATACCAGCGACCATACTATATGTCTGCTGATGATTCCAAAAACACCAGTTTTGACACTGTAGAAGGAGCAGAAGAGGTAATGAATAATGATGATAAAGAATCAATCTTTGAAGCTGAGAGAGTAGACATCTTTCAGAAGTGGAGCGTTGGCCCCCAGTGTATCCTGACAACCTCCTGTGTCGGCGATGCTGTCACGAACGTGGCTTAGCAAGGAAAGGGTTTTCACGTGACACATGGTTATGAGTCACAGGTATGTTATTGTTTCACGCATATGACCTATTTGGGTTATATGATTTGTTATGTGTGGGATTTGTGATGCTTTCGCACATGGCTCAAGTATGAGTTATGGGACATGCGCCTGACGAGTATGCCTCACGAGTGTGCCTTACGGGTAAACCTTGCGCATATGATTTATGTTTCGCACATGACCTCATTATGATGTCATGGGTTTCGTGCATATGACTCAGTCGAGTCATATGACTTGTTTATTGCGTTATGATTGGTTTATGAGTTTTGCACATGACCTCGCTACGAGGTCATGGGTTTTGAGCATGTGATCACTTTGGTCATATGACTAGTTTGTTATGATTTAGTTTCGCACATGTGACCACTTTAGGTCACATGACTAAAGGCGGGAAGAACACTATATAAGGAGGCCGATGCGGCAGAGGAAGATAGGCTCTTCACGCTTTGTTCTAAGTACTTTTCCTACTTATTACTTTAACGAATATAAAACACCTTTACGATCTTTATCTTTATTACATCGTTATCATTACGCCAAAGAAGGCACTTTACGAAGAAGAGTTAGAGAAAGCTTACGATAGGCTTTCCCGGTAGAAGACAAGGGTCTTGTACTATCGTTAACGTAGGCAGAGGCCTAGAGCTATCGTAAGACAAAGGAAGAAGAAGACAGGAAGAGAAGTATCGTTTCCCGTCGCCAAGCATTAACTATCCAGAGAGGGATCATTACAGATGCTTTCTATTGATTTCATATTGAAAAAGCCGATATTATTTGACGCGTATTCCGAAAGGTTGGATTGTCACTTCCTATTGATGGAAGTTGTGTTTCAGAATTAGATATTAAGAGATTTTCAGGTATACAGATTGGGAATTGGCAGGAGGAGCCTGAGTTTACCAATGAGATTGACTCTATTTCAGAGATTCATGATAACAATCAGAGTATCGAATTTGTAGATAGTACAGAACCCTTATAACCTAATGTATATTTTAATTTACCATTCTATCTTAGCTATTCTAGTACAACAAGCAATTGGAAATATCAAACAAGAGTCCCATTCGATGGTTGGTATTGTTTCTGTCTTCTGTGCTGCTTGTTGTTGAAAATTTAAGACATGCTATTTTCGTCATCACGGATCACTAACTCCAATTAGTTAGGCCTGATCCAGACTAACTGCTTTCAGCTTCCACTGCAGATCACAGCGATACCGAATCGAAAGGGATTTTACGGTACTCGAGCACGAAAGTAGGCCGCCCATCCGAATTCATCACCCTCTTCCCTACGTCAATCCGGCAAAGAATTTCTACTCTATGATTCTCCGAAGAGCGGTTTATTTCCTTTTTCCTTTCTTCCCCGGAAAGCGCATTGGTTACACATCTGATACCAATAACCAAGTGAAGGAGGAAAAAGGAAAAAAAATTGTGTTGTGTTGGGGGTCCTTTCGGTTATCCTACGTGGTTGGGGTTGTCTCAAAGGAAACCTCGATCCAGACTCCGATATTTCCACTCGGGGCTAAAGGGGATACCGTATTGTGATGGTGTTGAATAGACTACGGTGTTTGGTTTGTTGGGAATGTTACTTACCAGAGCTGTCGCTGATTTGACCGAGACCGGATCGTAAGGCTACGGTATTGTACGAGCACCGGTACTTGTAGACACTCCTGAGTGAATTGCTTTTGTGGATGACGAAGCGTCCAAGGGTCTGGGTGCCTTCTTCAACTGCAACTCCTCACCTTTCAGACCCTCAAAATCTCATAGCGATATGTTACTGGGTCAAGTCTCATGGCTCGATATACTCGTTTTCGTGGTATTCCTTACATGGCGATTATTGCGCGATGTGGGGATCTACGGAACTGTCATTTGCGCGATTCAAGCACTCCCATTTCTATGTAAGTTGACACGAGCTGGGGTTTGAACAAACACAGAGAGATCTAAGTTAATTTCTATCTTAGGTTGGAGAATGCCAACTGATATAATAAAGGAGCGCTATCTCACAAAACATAATCGACAATCTGCATTTACACGACGGAGCACACTCTTCCAAGCACTTGTCGTAGCTTGCATGAGGTATGGCTTTACATACGTGCCCACTAGAATCGGTCGTGTATTCTTCACGAAAGGAGTTGCTCTGCCATTCCTGAGATTTAGAATGTTCAGGCATGGCTACATTTGGCACCTCAGACACAGGCCATTATGGAGGGAAATCAACTTGGTGGGTCATTCCAGTGATCTCGGATCTCGAAAAAATAAATAAAAATAAACCGGCTGTTGATATCTTGCTCTCTTACTAGAATAAAGGTGCCATGAAGGGTATTTGGATAGTGGAGGATGATATCAAGAAGCCGGATGTGGTGGTTTATTACTGCCACGGTGGAGGCTTCGCTATGGGAACGTGCTACTTCTACCTCGAATTCCTCATTTCGTGGGTTTCGATTTTGAAGGAATCTGGCTTCTCTAACCCTGCGATATTCGCCGTGGAATACACGCTTGTTCCGGACAAAAGGTACCCGGTTCAGCTTCAGGAGATAATTTCTGGATATAACCATGTCCTCTCTATCACAGGCGACCCCGGGAAAGTTGTCGTTAGTGGGGATAGTGCGGGAGGTGCCCTCATACTCAGCCTATTACTTCACGTGGGGAACAGGTGTCCTCAGAAGAAGCCTTCTTTCGCTGCGCTTATTTCCCCATGGACGCACATAGTGTCAAAGCTGAACCGAGACGCACCCTCAGACTTTCTCTCGGTATCCCGGTTGCATGAGTATGGGCGATTATACGCTGGTTCTGAGAAACTATGGAATCCGATGGTTTCGCCTGGCTTTTGCATGGATATTTCGTGGTGGAGAAAGGCAATGCCGGTACGGGGGGTTCACTTTTACTTCGGTTCAGAGGAGATATTTTATGAGAGCATAAAAGCTTTAGCCAAGAGGCTTAGTGGGGTCGGGAGCGTTGTCTGCCGCGAGGATGAGAATTTACATGCATGGCCTTTTGCTGTTTTGTTCCTTGGAGCTCATGAAAAGGAACGGGGCAGAGGCTTGCGGAGGATTTCAAGTGACATTGCGGGGACTTTATTGCACACGTGATGCATATGTTTGGGGCTTCTCACCGTATGATACTTCTCTCCCGTTCTAAGGGCGTAGGACCTTGGTAGTTGGGGGGGGGTTTTATTTGATTTTTATATTAAATTTGCAAGCTTCACAAAGCGTGGGTTGGACTTAGAATATCGAAGTGTATAATGGATCGGGAAGGGTCACGGTGCCGTTGTCATTTTTTGAAAATTTTTTTATCACGCTTTACCGTTGAAAAATCTGGTCTCTCGATTCGCAGGATCGTACGAGATGTTCTTGCTCATGTAATAGGTACTAGTACAAGTGCCATGGGTGAAGTCTTCGCACACACCAAAGTGGCTTACCAGCAAAAAAATGTTAAAAATTGGTGAGGTCACAAAGTAGTGTGTGCGAAGACTTCACCCATGGCACTCGTACTGTATATACGCATACCGCAGATTAAAAACTTCATTAACCGCATGCCGTAAGTATTATATCCCACATGCTTAACCGGCACACTGTCTTGTCCTAGGAGCCAGAGGTATCCTTATGGATTCTTGAAGTTGCACTGTACCCATCGTGCATACCTGCATGAATTTTTTGTGTAGATAAAATGCCAGCACAACAGGTACTGTACAGTACTCGTACAATAGTACACTGTAGGGGACGGTGGGTTTCTCGGTAATTAATTACAGTAATTCGGCTGCATCCGATTCTCCCTCTCCGGGCATCGAATACTTTATCTTACTGTAAGAACACCGGCGGTTCTTGGAACTCCCTAAGCCGCCACTTAGTGTGCTCACCCTCAGGAGAAACCAACGATTCGGGGGTGACACAGCATCACCACCCCTCGCTCCGATTTTCTTACAATAATGTTCAACTCTATCATCGGTCCTTACAAATATACTTAGGATCGCCTGTTCCCGAGTTATTGACTGCTCCCGCTTCTCACTTCAGCTTCTTTCTCCACATCTCCCCCGGTGTCTGCTAGCGAGCTCCTAGGAGGTGTCCCGACAGCTATTCTGAACGAACCTTTTCGCATATCTCTTGAACGGAGACCCTAGGGCAAGGAAAATGTCACAATTGCTCTACAGATGGATCACTTCCGAGCACTTCAGTGACGACCCCTTTCTTGCTGTGGCATATCTCGCGTATGAAGCAATCCCCTGGAACTTTTGTCATATGAACCTTCCTCCACTGACAAGAGAGCACGGGTCACAGCCGGTACGCCAAACAGATAGGAGTCCACCACTTTCTCTGTACAAAACTTCGAGAGTTCAGCTATCCGGAGATTGAATTCTTCCTACCGCAACTATGTCATTTACTCGTAAGCATAGAGGACACGGAGTCTGTGGCTTTGGAGGAATTCATTTTCGAACTGTGTGAACGATCAGCGCATGGAGCTCTCTTGGTATAGCTTTCTCCCCCCCGTGAATCTTCTGGGTGGTGCATAGGTATCTAATGGATACCTACAGATATTCTGGCTTTTCCAAACACATCTTCATGACCTTTCCGGGAATCCACAGTCGAACGCTTTTAAGGTATGGAAGCACAGAAGCATGAGAAAGGAGCCCGCGCAGAGCCGCCTAACATTGTCATGTTGTAGATATGCAGGCGCATTTACAACAAGGTACAGCATATCGTTTTTGGTGGAGAGGAGATCAGGAAACGAGAACGGTTAAAAGAAAATGTCCTTCCGGTTACTCTGTTAGCCAGCCTGATCCTCGGGAGTGTCGCCGCGCCCATACTACCAAGGTTCGCAGGTCCTCTCGCTGTAGCCCAGGCACGGAAACATAGGAATCCCCCCGGCTCGATATCAGAGGTTCCGAGACTCGCTAGGAGCAAGACTGTTGCCTCTAGAACTAACTCCCGGCCCAAAAAAGAACGAGTGCCGCGAAGCCAGAGTTCGGAGGGTGTCGAGGGGTCTTCCAAGCCGGCCTCACGCCCCAAATCACCGAACCCTCAGCAAGCTAATGCAGGCCCCTCAAAAGCTGAAGCTCGGTCGTTTTCGTTGTCCAGGAGGCCGTCAAAGTCTGGGAGTTTGGATGTTCCCCATATACCCCAAAGCTCTTCCTCGCTACCGGACCTCCGGATGCAACGAAGTGCAACGGTCACCGAATCGAGATCCGGGACAAATCGTCGTCGGGTAGGGAAGGATAGGCCACTAACGCCTTCACTTTTGTCAACCTCGCAGAAGGTTCACATGCTTAGGGCCAATTACTTCAGGAACGAGACGCAATTCTTGTCTGCATTGGAGGATATATCTAACAGGCTGGTTTTGGTACCTAAGCCTGCGCGATTAAGTGCTCTACGTGCGGAACTTGCTTTGCTGAACAATGACTTGCCTTCAGAGGTTGATATTCCGGTGATTTGCCCGGCAACTGTGATTGAGGGTGGCACGACGACTGGACACCATCGAGTGGTCAGGATCAACCCGGCCGAAGCTACTGTCTTAAACAGTGCAGAAAGAGTTCCCTATCTGCTGATGATAGAGGTACTGCGGGACGACTTTGACTTTGATCCTGAAAAAGAGGAGAACCAGAGACTATTGGGAGTACTATTATCTGAGGGTGGAGGAAAGAAGAGGATATTTGATTTGACCGATCCCCCTCCTGGTCATTATCGGGGGAGTAACAGTGAGGGTGAATCTGATAGCGTTTTCGAGCCATCTAAAGGTGATATTGGAACGTCATCGATAATAGACGACCCATACGACTTTGTTACCCCTCGAGCCAGCAGCTCCGACCAATCCATCGCTTCCACGGTAGCCCCATCGCATCTGCCCCGACTCTCTAGTGGTGCAACAACTTTATCAACGGCATCATCAATAGTAACTCCTCGGTCTTCTGAGCTTTCCTCGTCAAGCCGCACTGGAAGCCCTGCGCCGGGGAAGAAGTCAGCTTCCTACTCTCTCGCCCGATCAGGCGGTGAGCAGCCTGACTTGTCGGCTCTTGCGACACATATGCGAACTGCCGCCCAAATGCTGGCCCAGCTAGATGCCAGCAGTTCCAAAACGCCGAAGAATGAGGTGGCAGCTATTAAGGCTAAAATTATTGCCAGTATGCAAACCCTGGAGGAGCAGAGCTTCTTTTTCGAGGCAACTGCACCTCTCTCAACATTTGATACTATTATGGCGAATACCGCAGCTCCTCTGACCACAGAAAATGTGGAAGAAGTAGAGGACACAACTGCCAATCTGAATGCTGGTGCTGGTGCTGCCCGTATGGAGAACGATCAGAAAACTTCAGGTGTCGAGCGCAAAGCAGACAGAGATGATCCTAGCGCAGCAACCTTTGGAGAGGAGTGGAGCGCAAAGCGGGAGCGAATCCGGAAATCTTCTCCATATGGTTGGTGTAAGAATTGGGATCTATTAAGCGTAATTGTGAAGACAGGTGCCGACCTGAGGCAAGAGGCATTCGCATGCCAACTTATTCACGTATGTGGCAAAATTTGGGAGAAGGCCGATGTGCCTGTATGGATAAAAAGAATGCGAATTCTTGTTACCGGAGAGGTAGGTTTGCCCGAATACACACATATTTACGACTCTTCCCATGTTCATCTCGTGTTGACTCTCGGCAGTCGTCGGGGTTAATTGAGACCATTACAAACGGAACTTCTCTTCACTCCCTGAAACGGAGTCTCACCATAGCATCCATAACCTCTATGAAGAACCCTCGGGGGCGAATTGCGTCTCTTAAGGACCATTTCGTGAAAGTAGGTTGTGCTCTGCAGACGTTGTTCGGCATCGACTAATTCTCGAAAGACATTTGGCGAACCTGAGTCAGATACGTATAAAACAGCAGTAGGCGCATTCACACAGTCACTGGCAGCGTACAGCATAATATGCTATATTCTGCAGTTGAAGGATCGACATAATGGTAATGTCTTAATAGACAATCAGGGCCGTAAGTCGGATACTCCCCACATACCCACGCGGGATGCTTAAACCCAATCGCAGACATCATTCACATCGACTTCGGTTTCATGCTGTCCAATTCCCCTGGCTCCGTAGGCTTCGAGTCTGCTCCGTTCAAGCTCACCCAGGAGTATGTCGATGTCCTCGGTGGTGCCCAGTCGGCTGAATTCGCCAAATTCAGAGCATTGTGCAAGCAGGCTTTTCAAGGTAACTCCCAGACCCCCCCCCCCCGCGCACCAACACAAGGGCTGCCCAGTCTAATAGACTTTTTCATCTAGCCCTGCGGAAGTCGGCAGACAACATCGTCCTCCTTGTCGAGCTGATGGGCAAAGAATCCCGAATGCCCTGCTTCGCTTCCGGCGCAGAGTACGCGACAAACCACCTGCGGCAAAGGTTCCAGTTACAACTCAGTGAAGCTGAGGCGGAAACCTTCGTCGATGATGTCTTGATACAAAAGTCCCTAGGAAGTTATTTTACGCGGATGGTATCACCTCTCCCTCCTCTCCCATTACCCTTCCCCCTAGGAAGCCAGCGCTAACACAACGAACAGTACGATCAATTCCAATACCTCACCCAGGGTATCTATTGAAGCGGGTAATTTTGCTACTCTTGTATTCGAAGGAAGCTCCGTAGAAAGACACTTCAGGGTGCGCACGGAGGGGAGAGTAAAAAAATAGGAATGAAAATAGAAATATATCTTTAATGTATTCTGAGTGTTTCCTTTGCTCCCGTATAGGATAGGATATTGGTAGGTGGATGTGAAGGGGGTGAAGGGGGGGTGTTTATGTTATGCAGTGAGACCGGGGGGATGTGGCGTTCTAGAGTTTTGGCGTGGTCGGGTGCGAGGCGAAAGAGGGCGGTGAGGAAGGATGGGAGGGGAGGTACGAGTAGACAACGGCTGTATAGTATGATATATACGGTGTATACCGTAGTCCATAATGCAAAACGAAGCGATAGAAGACACCAATCGGTATTTGCTTATTATGTATGATACGATACAACTTATCTCAAAAGTTTGGCCTGATAACCCGTCTAATCGGATCTCTTTCGCCCTTCAGTCCTAACACCTTGGGCCCGGCAATAATGAGGTATTCCCGGAAGGAATCAAGATAGGAAGGGGAAAGTATGACAGGCAAAAACAGAATCTCAGCTAACAACCTCCGGCTTGGTCGAAGGTAAACGTGCCCAACATTGAAGCGGGACGTCACGAGGAAGCGGAACCGGGCAAGTCAATTACTAAAGTAGTAATGACTCTATCAGCCCTCAACCAGATTGGACAAGGATAAAGAAAAATGGAATAAGTGCATAGGAAGTATGAGAAGGTGGCCGTGAATTGATTAGGTTAGATTATTTAGATCATAAAGCTAGCTACTAATGCTGTACATGGGTAAGGGGAAGGGGTTACTTGCTTACCAGATACTACTACTTCTCCCAAGACTCCGACAGACCTTTCGAGAAGTACTATCCGAGTACGAGAGCCTACAGAAACGCATAGGAAATTAGGAGTAAATAACCACAAGGATAGTAATACAGAAAATAGAAGATATTGTAGGTGACAGATATCTCAGGTTTAATAATTGGGAATATCTGGAATCAATAGTCACAGTCATGTTCAAATTTGTAAGGAGCAAAGAGTAGATCAATTTTCCATTCCCCCACCATACCAGTAGTATCTCTAACTACCCATCTAATACACAATTGCCTTAAAGTCCCCATTCCAAATATACTTTCCACCAGCATAGTCCTTCCACCTACAAGCAGCAACAATCTGCCTTGCTGCCCAACCCAAAGTGTCACAAGTAACATAGTTCCAGAATTTACCACAAACGGCAATCTGTGCAGTCCCAACACTCATACTTGTTGTACAGTGTGATCCACCAGGGTTGGTTTGAATACACAACCTTGCTCCAAGTTCTTCAAGGCGTCTTGCACCCTCCAGGACATCCCAGACTTTAGGGGAACCATCGGTAGTATCACAGTCAACATAATTTGCCATTGGTTTATCAGTAGAGGAGATAACAATAGAAGTTCCATTTTCAAGACGGTGGTATACATTGGCATCAAGTTCAGTAGGAGGTTGAACTTGAAATTTGCCAGTGAAATGCTCAGTTGATGTGGAATCAACATTAGTCTCATCTGGAATAGCCAGGGGGGTTGCAAGAACTTGGGCGACAATCAGAAAGGTAGTAAGAAGGACTGAAACTGTAAGACAAGTAGGAAAAAACATTGTAAATGTTTGAGAGAATTTATTGAAGGATTTAAAGTAAAGAGGTTTTTGCCTTAACAGGAAGAGCAGAATTTGATGTAGGTGGTATGTATTGGATCAGTGTTGAAAAAGAAAGAAATAAAAGAGCATGAGAGGATATTTATAGACAAGATGAACTAAGTCAGGCCATACCTTTAATAACCCTAATAACACATTCTATATATATATATATATTTGTATAATTATAATAATCTATAATTATACTATATTTAGATGTAATTTTTAGTTTAAATTATAGTATATTGTTTATATACTATAGGTATTGTTTGGTAATCCACAGTAACAGCTTTGAACTAGATTTCCAGATTTGAGCAAGGCCCTATTTGGCACACAAGAAAAATGCCATTTTTCTGACTTAAATGGTATTTTTTCATCATATATTTATAAATAAAGAGGGGTGTGTTTGGTGCGCAAATTAAAACAGAGTATTTTCATAATGAATTTTTATAGATTTATTTTGGGGTTGAGAGTATAATATTAGAGATAAGAGTTTAGAAAAAATTTTGGTTTAGCATTTACTACCTAGATACATACTATGTAATACTATAATAATATTATGATAAAATAAAGATTGACTGAATTCTCTTAAACAAGGCCTCTCTATTGACTTTATCAATTTGACTTTCCCCAGAACTGCCCCTTTTTTAAAATCTATTTCCCCAATCAACTATTTTCAAAATAGAGCACAAAGGTAATGACATGAGGATGAATGGTAAGAGGTTGTTGGAGTTTGTAATAGCAATTGTAGAGGAGGTTGAAGCTCGGTTTGATAAGAAAGCTACCAATATCTATCAAGATCTGCTAATTTTGTGTGTTGACAATTAGTTACCTCTGACTAAAGACAGTCACAATACTAGTTTTTCAAGCCCTAAAATAATTGTAAAAGGCTTGCCAAACACTAATATTTATGAAAAATGGCATTTTTTTATAATAGGATATATGCTACGTTCAGGAAAAATAGCATTTTTTTATATGATTGCGCGCCAAACAGGGCCTAATTTTTTATTTACCTTCTCTTACTTTAACCTCTTTGTCTCAGGTTAAATTTTTCAGGTTCTTATAATACATTTCTGAAATATAATAAGTTATAAACTTATTTTAGGATATATGCCATTTACAACTTTTATCCTGATACATTTATATTGTAACCAGCTGAACAGAGCCTAAAAATTGGTAATATTACCTGTCTTTCTTTACCCAATTTTTTATTTGAATTTCTCTTCTCTTATATTGCATTATCTAATATCATACTAGTTCTAAGTTTAATAAATTATAAAATTAAAATTAAAATTAACCTATCATAACTGCAACCTAATCTAAACATGCCCTAATTCTTTGTTGCAAGCACCAGTTTCCAAGGTGTCCCCAATGCAACAGTCAAGGTGTTGTGTACAGACTGCCGGAACCATACTCAATGTTTCTTACAACAATATATTTAAGTATTTATACAATGAAGTCGTCATTAGTTCCGAGGGTATTTTTAAATACAAATACAAAAAAAAAAAACAGCTCTTGGATAAAAGGTTTTGATTGTCAAAACTAATACTGAAAAAGTAGCATACCAAATAGGGCTTCAGTTTCCTCGTTTTTTTCTCTCCCTTCCTCCAATAAAAACAAAATTAAAGTATGAAAAAGATAAAAGTATTAGCGAGTTCGCATGTATCATATCATAAAATACAAAATACTCCTCTAGCAGTTATCATATCAGTAGTTCTATTTTTTTTTTCCAGCAAGATCGAAGTCGAGTCAACGCGAGTGACGCCCCGTGAGCCGTTGCAGAGCGAAGAAAAAAATTCATTCAGGAAATTACTACTCCGACTCCGAACCCCCTACTCAACCGTCCATCCTTGGCCCATTCGTGATCAACCCCGTAGCCCAAATACCCACAAGGGCCAGCGATAACACAAAAAAAGTGAAAATATGGCAAAGGGTAATTATGAGAAGGTGAGGAAAAAGTTAAGTTCACACATAAAATATTGTACCGCGCCGCCCTGGCCTCTCCCCCTTATGGCCCGATATAGGACCTAATATGCTTAGAGGAACTAGAACCTCCGGCTAAGGCGGCGGCGGTGGCGAAGAATACGATGGCTGGGCGGATCATCTTTCATCGGGATCCTAGGGGGCCTGGGCGCGTTCGGGTCTGGGGGTGGTTTAGGGATCGAGCTGCGCTTGGGCTTTATAGCTAATATGATGATGAAGCCGATTATGAGGATTATTAATAGGAGTATTATTTTCCGCTTTGTGGTTCTTCGTTGGTAGGTCGAGGCCTATAGCCATTAGTATCTCCTCTCCGCAGTGATTTGCAAAGGATGGTGGAGCATACAACAGTCATCTCCTTATCCGCGGCCTTAACGTGCACACTCATTTGCTCGACATTGTAGTCTATGCGGTCGAGCATGGTGCCCTGGTCTATGACCATGGTTTGCAGCTCTTTGAAGATGTCGGCGAGCTCGATGATGCCCTTCGCGATATCGGTTATTTCCCGCTCGCGCTGCATTATGGAGGCATCGTTGGAGGTTAGTGTTGCGCTTTGCTGCAGGGCGGATTGACTGAAGGAGATGTCGGCCGTTGGGTCGGAGTCTTGATAGAAGGGGTTTGGAGATCCGGTCCGGTCGAGGGGGGTGGCCATACCGCTGAGACCGCGGAGCTCTATCGTCCTTTCGTTAGCATGGGATAACTTGGTCAAACCCCCCCGAAGCGGAGGTTCGAATTGGGGGTATGGTACTCTTTAGATATGCCGACTGTTTCTTCCTAAAAGAGGTGCTGGCCTCTTGAACCTTCGTCGCAAGGCTGATTTGGATATTCCTGCCCATGGTTTCCTCCCCTTTCGAGCCCCCCTCCCCACCAATCATCCCCTCGATCCTCCGGATCTTCTTCTGGCACTTATGGAACCCGTTCGTGATCTCTCCCGTCAACCTCTCGATCTCCCCCTCCTCTGCCGACCTGTTATCGTCGAACCCTGGGAGCACATGCTTCGAGTGTAACTTGTCCAGCTTCGAAGACTTCCGCGAAATGTCTGCTAGCAGTTCGCTCACCTCGTCGGACACGTCCGCCCACCGGGGCGGGAGCAGGTCCATCTCTATTACCGCATCGCCGTTGCTGCTAAAGTTGTCGTCTGCATCGCCGCCGAGGCCACTACCGGAGGAGATTAAGCCTCGGCGTTCTTCGTCCGCGTGGAAGGCGCTGGAAGCGAAGCGGGGGCGTTTTGCGGGGCGGTGGGAGTAGGATTGGCGATAGGAGATGTAGCTGAAGTGGCGGTGTCAGTTAGTTTGTCAGTTCGAGGGTTAGTTTGGGTTGATTGGTTGGAGGGAAGAGGGATGGAAGGGAACAGAAAAGGAAGCAACGCACAGGTTTGTTCTATCTCGCCACATTAGCGATTGAGGAAGCGGTTGTTTTTAGGATGCGCCGGTAGGGGGGCCAAGTGTGAGTGTGGTTCCGTTCGATAGAGCTCTTTAGGGGGGGGAGGGGGGGGTTGTTGTATGTGCGTTCGTAAACGCCTATAGATGCTATCGACAGAAACTAGGTTAAAGTATCGTGCAGTTGCCTGTGATGGTGGTCATAGGAACGATGGGGGGATTAATGTTTCAGCGGCGCGGGAGCGGCTGTGCTTGCTGGGAATAATTCTGCTGCCTGTGAGGTGAGGCTGCAGGAGCGAGTCGGAAGGGCTGGTTTCTTAATAGATGAGAGCCTCAGTCACACTTTATTCGCAGGGCAACACCTGCTGTCCTGTACTGTACCGGCACAGCACGGGGTAACAGTCAGGTACGGTATCGTATGATGGTTGATTGTTGGTGCAATACTAGCATAGTACCACAGGTGGCATTACAATAACTCTGTTTGGACTTGTTCATACGTGATAAATCGGAACCCCATCTGGAATCCAGCCTGTAACGCGTAAATAGTCGCCTTTGTCACCAAGACACTCTTACCGTGACAAATGTGACGCCGGTCTCTGGTACTGCGAGGAGGCAGCAAAGCAGTGGTGATACAAGACTACTACGGTGCGGCGATAATGTGTGTGATATGGTGCATCACAAGGTGGCTTCGGTTCTCCGGTAGGTTGATGCCTTCGTT